ATCAAAAGGTCTTAGGACTTTTAACGTTGTTTAAAGTGTCTTTGTCTCGATAAAGCAAACATAATATGAAAAGAGGATTACTAGAAATTGGGGGAATAAATAAAGTGCTGAAGGGTTGCCTTCACACTTACTTTTTCTTTTCTAAGCCAAGATACAACTGGAGCTTATTGGTTGGATTGGTTATGACTGTTCTTAAACTCTTACAGATGATCATAGTCTAATAAACTGTACGAACGTTACAATGGGTGCTGACCCCTACAGCTTATTCATAGCTAATGTGGTGCTACTGTGGTCTCCAAACTCTGCAGTTGTCATTACCATGCTTAAATGCTTATCCTACATGCATCCCTTCTGAAAGTACAAATAATATGTTGCTATAATACCAAATTAGTTTTTCCTGAAGTAAAAATGTCTTTTTTACTTAAATATTTGATACCAATGGAGTGTGTATCCACACTATAAAATTTTTTTCTATGCTACTGTTTCTGTTCCAGAACATAAAATAACAGCATTATGCTATTTATGTTTTTGTCATGAAAAAAAGTGGTATTTATATGAGGAAGTAGCATATAAAAAAAGGTACTGGAAGCAGGTAGTTTGACTACCACCACCCCCGACTCCCCTGCAAAAATGTGTGCTGATGTGCAATGTTGATTGTATAAATTAATTCATGATGAAAAAGCTGCAAAGATACTTAGGAAAAAGGGTTTTCTTAATGCTGAAAAGACAACAATATGTTTATAGTGTTTGCATGTAGGAAGGGAAGAAAAAATACTGAGCCTAACACTGAAAGCCTAGTATTTGGGCTGCATAAAACAAGAGCAATGACAAAAGATTGTGTGACATTTAAAGAACTTAAACTAGCATGTCCATGAAAGGGAACAGAGACAAATGTATGCTGTGTCTGGATATATTTGGTCCCTGTTCATATTTATGTCTGTATCACTTCTGGGGAATTTACAATGCTTTCTTACCAGACATGATTGGGGCAACTACTGAAAATGATATTCCAGCTCCTCCTCTTGTGCAGGCTCTAGCACTCATGCTAGCTCATGATAAGCTAAATTAAAAAGATGATTTGGCTGCAAGCTAAATGTGTTCCACATTAATTTTTCAATTGGGTCACCTGCACAACTGTAAGAGCACAAATGAAAACTTGAGGAGACTTGGTGTGGCAGATTGTGCACTCCAGTAGTGATACTGCATTGTAAGGGTTTTGGAGTATGTGATTTTGAGGATCCTGAGGGATTTCTGCTGCCAAAACAAGATGATGCAACTTCTTTTTCACTGCTGCTTTTGTTTCTGCCTCTTTGCTTACAGTCTTTGCTATTTGACCTCAAGATGGGCTGATTTAACTCACAAATCTTGCAAAAAAAACCCCAAAACTTGTTCAGAAAAGAAAAAAAAGACTAATTTTCTCCCAGGCTGGTGGGTTGAATCTGCTCACAGTACCACCAGGTAGGTCCTGGTGCAGCCCTAATGGATGTCTCGGGATTGTCTTGTCCCATGGTAGCAAACTAGTAGATTGTCTCAGTTGTCTTGTTTTAGCCCTTTAAAGTGGTTCTCTGGCTGTGCCAGATTCAAAGCCTAAAAAGCTTTAGCTGTTTAATATAGGTTTTATTCCTTTACTTCTTCTGGTATATTTTTGCTTTTTATTAATGTGAGTTGAATATGGTAAAATGCTAGCTGTCTCCTACAATACTTCGCATGTGTTACTACCTATATACATTTAATGAATGTGCTCTGGAAATGACAGTAAAAAAACCTGGAGAGGAGCAGCGCTGTACTAGTATCAAGACTGTTATGATAAGTTTCTATTACAACAGAAATTTAAGGTAATATGCTTCCATCCAATATGTGATATTAGCTCTGTACAAGGTTTATGATGAATGAAGAGACAATTAATTTATTTGCAGATGTGGTGCGCTGCTCTTCCTCTGTCCTACACCTAGGGTCCATGCCCTCTCTATGTGACTGAGTCTTTGTGGCTTTAACCAGAACTGAGCCTGAGCAAAGCCACTGTTAATCAAAAATTGTGCAAATTAATTTGCTAAGAAATGCAAGTATTAAGCACACCCACCAATAAAAAAATGTCATAGACAACAACTTCACATTTTTGGAGGTTGTATAGGTTGGGTACTTTGCTATAGCTGAAATTATGATTTCTTTCCTGTGAATACGTGTGCTGGTGAGAATCAGTCTGATTGAAATAGAATAAAAGTCTAAACTTTTGTTTTTCTGCCTTCAGACACCTTTCAAGAAAATAATTTAATTTAACAGGATATTTTATTTTGCAGTAACTTATTTTCTTTTCCTTGAGCCATTTGTTTATTGCTTATTAAAAGGCAATCTATTTAAAAACTTGAAATGCACTCCATCTTCATCAGTAAAGCTTTCTCCCATAACTCTCTGCCAGCATCATTAAGCTCCATTAAAATCATTCTACTCCGAATAAGTCTTCAGAACGACTGAAAATGGATGCAGAAGAGATTTTGATTAGTGCACAATGTAGTGTGTGCATGTGTCTGTAAACCATTCTATTCTATTTTGTTTGAAAAGTGTGCTTTTGGTTGTGGTTGATGTCCTCTCGTCGGTTCGTGTATAGCTGTTGGGAAAATGCTTGTGCTGCTAAAAGCCTGTGTCAGGACTGTTCCTTGATGGGTGATAAATTATATCGACAAGCACCAGGCAAATTGCCTGCTAGATTACCTTGTATCTGTGCTAATCCCTGATGATGTAGACAGTAAGAGCCCACTGATTGTGCCTGGGCTGATTGCAGCTGAGTAAGAAATTGCTGTGCTACTGCTTCTGTTGACTTTTGCTTGGTCCTCCCTCCCAAACACACACGAGCTTCTTTCACCAAGCTTTGAGGCAGCTAGAGCTAAAACTGGTGAATTAGGAGCCTGATATGGGAAATGGGGAAAATAGTGCAGAATTTATCCCTCAAGTGATGGAGTAGGATATTCCCCTGCTGTCCTGCATAGGTGTCCCCTCTTCTCAGTTCCAAAGGAGTACAGAATATGGAGAAACTGAGTAGGGCACTCTTACTCAGTTGTGCCGGGAAGAAATACAAGGGAAGAATATCATAAGGACTGAAGAAGGTACAGAAATGTGCTGAGGTTCTAGAAACTTCACCCTTTCCTCTAGTTTAGTTTTATATGGGCAAAAGGGAAGGGAGAGGATCAGATGGGTGTTTGGGGAGTGAAGGAAGGAAGAGGGGTAAAGAGTGCAGACAGACACCAAGACACCTGCTTGTGTTTGCACAGCGTTTTGAAAGAGGGCTCCTAAGTCCAACTCTTGCAGTTGTGGTGTCAGGCCAGCCAGCTCCAAACTGTGCTCGGTCCAAATCCAGTAGAGAAACAGCTTAAGTTTCCAGCTTTCTGTGAAAAGCTGCTTTGGAAAAATTGTGTTAATATCTGCATCACAGTTTTCTAGAAGCTCGTGTGCTCAGACTTCTAGTGTCCTATACTGTTTTCATGCCACATATTTTAGTGAAGTACTACCTGATGGGGTTTAGAAGCAGCTGGAATCTGTCACGTGCTGCATCTCTCCCCACATTGTGGTTTGCAGCAACTGGAGGCGTTTAGAGTAAGGTTAATACCAGTTTAGTCATTATGTAAATTTCGTTATGTTGAAAAAACAGTTATTTTTCTAGTCAGAAATTAGATTTTTTTTTTTTAATTTTTTTTTTTTTAACATCTTCCTGCTTTGTGAGGTGGCTGTTCTGGCAGAATGGGTTTCTGTCACTGCCACCAGCCATCCGAATGGTAGAACCAAGTTAATCAGTGCTCTCTACACTTCAGTGCAAGACATCAAAACACTGCAGACAGGAATCTGTGAAACCAAAGCTGAACCAGGCCGTTTTATGTTACTGTGGATACTTGCAAACAGGATGTACAATTCTGAGCTAAGACCATCTAGTTAATTTTTTTTTTTTTAAAGTTATTTTTATTAGATGCCTTCTCCAGTAGTTGTTCTTGGCCTGAAACTGCTTTTCTGCCTATTTCTCCCTTTTGTGAGCTGTGAACACTTAATGCTTTGTACCTTTCATTCTCTTACCAATGTACAGGCTGTTTTCCCGAATAATTTTTTTTCTTTTTTATAATTCAAAAGGATATGCTTTAAGCCTTACAAATTTATAGTGCTGGTGAGCTTACCTGTAAGAGCATTTGAAGTTCTGCAGTGGGAACTGTGTATCGGTTCAGTAATGTGAAATAATTAGAGAAACTGATTCTAATCTAAACACCAGTGGGGCTGCTGCTTATTGTGCTGTGCTTCCAGCTATCTCATGAGTCTCATAAATGCATGCCAAGGTGTGGGAAGAATTGTTGGATGTTCTTTTGTTTTGCTCAAATAGGCTGAATATGATCCGGGGAAAACAAGCGTGTTGTCAGGCTCTGAAAAAGAGCAGGATGGCATCAGAAGAGTATTTGATTTTCAGATTTAGCTGCTGGATACTCCTATTAAGCCTCGTTTGATCTACAGGAGTTTGCCCAATTAGTTTGGTGTGGTGCGTGCCTGCCTGCCTACCTTAGTCTGCATACAGCTGTGGTTGGTTTTGTTTTGGTTTTTTTTAAATAAGGATAATTTTACTTTTAAAGTATCCTTAATGCCTTTACACATTTTAAAGCTTTTTAGCAGAACAATTATAAAGTTTTTAAGACTTGTTCCCCAAGAACAACCTTGTCTGTGTAACTTCTGCTTCCCTGAATAGCTTCCTTTCATTTCAAGGGTTAGTTCATAATAAGCAGTTGTCATCTACTTGAGCTTGTTCCTAAGCAGTTGTAAAATATATCCAAACCCCGTTTCCCTGTATGAATTTTGCATAGCTTAGCTGTTCCCACTGGCTCATGAGGTCAGATATTCCAGTATGCCAGTGACCCCTCCAGCAAACTAGTGAAAGCATATAGAATAAAAATAACGAAGAACTGCTGATTAACCAGAACACCAATAAAGACTAAAGTTGTCTGTGTAATGGTGAACACTTAATATTTTGGTAGGTCAGACGAGTACCAGGTTCCAGTGGTCACCTCCATAAAACAGAAGATGGGGACTGGGAATGGAGTGATGATGAAATGGATGAGAAGAGCGAGGAAGGCAAAGCTGCTGTTTCTCAGGAAAAGGTAACTTTTGTTTGTGACATGACATTTAACCTCTGCAAGATATTCTGTCTTAATTGCTAGTATTCCTGGTTCTTTAATGCATAAAGCCACATAGCTCATATGTGACTGCATTTGTTTTTCAGTCACGAAGAGTGAAAGAAGAGGAGAACACGGAGGTAAAAATGTCTTTATAATTTTTTTTTTTTCTTCCAAGCATTTGAGTGAAGGGATTTCTTTTTCATTTCTGCTGTTAAAAATGTGAATTGAGGTGGGAGTGTTGTTCTGCAGCCTTGCGTGGCAAGTACTTGTAAGGATAGAGCTGTATGCATTTGGGCCTGTAACAATTAACTTGAGCCCACACTGGATAAAATTGATAGGAAATTTAAAGTCATGTTATGTTCGTGCCCAGGAGAATTGGTTAAGATAGGTAATTTGGCTGCTTTTAATGAATCTTCATAACTGTATCACACTAATTGCTGTCTTTTTGTCAGAGTAATGATGGCTGTTTCAGAGTAGCCAGAAGATCACCAAATAATTTTTCATTCTTAGGATTTGTATCATGACATGTAGCTTGTAATTAAAATGCTTCATCCCATATACAGTAAAATAGTTCAGTACTGTGGCATAGTAGATTAATTCAGAGGAATAAAATACCGTATTGAGTTTCATGGCCCTGTGCTGAGAGTGTGGGAAGCATCGCTGCTATAAATAATTGCTTAATAGCATTACTGGCTTACAGCCAAAGTGGTCTTTTAAAAATGTGTATTCCTTGGGTGGATGTCACTTGCCACTTCACCTGCAATTTTAGATTCTCTGATTTTCATTGGTGTCATAGAAATCTTCTAAAAGACTAACGGCTTCCTGCCAGGTTTGGTCCTGTTAGCTCCTGTGATGACCCCAGTCCTTCCATTGCAGAGCTAGTTTACATAGCGCTTGAGCGTCTGAGATGTTTTATGTAAGCTGAGTATGAAAAAAAAAAAAGGGACTTTCACCAGACAGTCTTTTTCTGTCTTAGAAATTGAGAGTTCTGCAGTTTGTGACTCAGTTTATACAGGTAACTCTTTTATTATGAGTTGTTTAGTTTATGAAGGAAAAAAAAAGCCTCTGCTTGAAGTCTTCTGTTGATTTTTGTTTTCCTAAATGCCCCAGAAGATGACTTGGAACTGAGACTAGTGCAGCTTGTCACTGTCGGTGTGTGCCTGTTGGTCTTTGGGCTGCACATTCCTATACACTGAAATAACAGGTCTGTTATGCAGAAATAATAGTAGTAGTTTATATGAATGGAAGGAACGTAATTGAAGTAGAAAAAAATCTGCTCCCCTTTTAGTGATTGAAGTATTTGGAAAATTATTTAAATATTTATTAACTTTTGTTTAAAATACACAGATAGTAAAATATAGATCTTGTGTAACACTTTTTAAAAGTAGCTTTAATATGGGAAAACTGTTGGAAAACAACCAAATGAGATTTGTGAATCAAGTCTTTATTTTGGGAGGACTTGACTATAACCTTTGAACAGGCTTCTGTGAGTGGTGACAGTATGCCCAGTTGGGTATGAAATCATAGTAGGGTAGAGGACCCTGAGGTACTCTGTATGTAGGATACACTTTTGCTTGAAACTTGATATGAATGTTAGTTGAGGGCTGGGGAGTGTATCATAGCGTGAGGGAGGAATGATAGTGTGAAAGAGATCCATATTGCTGGTTTTACTCTGTGAAAGACATTCTCCAAGCTGTGATGCCTGCTTTGGTATGCTGCTAGTTCTTTGCAGATAGGTAGATGCAAGACTTCCTTAACAACCAAAACTGTTACACAAAAATAATGTGAGTAGTAGTTTGGTATTCTCACTCTGTGCCTATTATTTAATAGGTTATTGGAGCTTTGGTGCAAGGTGGATTAAAAGCTTTTACACTCGGTGCTTTAATGCAGGCCTTATCATTTGTATCTCTCTAACTGAAATATAGCAGTTTTACTGGTATCAGCTATATTTTAGACTGTGTTAGTGAAAGCGTTTAAAAGGTTTTTGAGAGTTAAAGGATGTGTAAAATATTCTGTGCTAACTTCAAACTGTTAGCATGGCAAGTATTTTGGGATTTTTTTTTTTTTTTCCTTTGGCACCCTTTATAAGACTTTCTGCTTTTTTTTCTTTAATAGTCTCAGCCTGCTGTTACTGATGAATATAGTGAAGTTCCATGTGCAGTGAATCTTGTCTTAAGACTAAGGTAAGAGATTCTTCTATTTATTTTAGTGTTCCTTTTTAGTTGGCTGTATTATTCTTGATCTCCATCATTACTTTCATAATATTAACATAAAATAAGTGTTAACTTCTTTAATCTCCCAGTATGACCAGTATGAATAGTGTTTCTGTGACTAATTGCTGTCTTCTAATTGCTTACTGAAATAGTGTAAAATGAAAAGCAGAGTATGAATGTGGCTTCAGGCTAGGTGTACCCTTCATTAAGTATTTTCTTTCTTTTCTTCCTTGCAATGCAGGATCACAGTGAGAGATTTTTAATGAGTTTCTTTCACACTTCAGCAGTCAGCCTCTGACAGAAATAAACTATAGCTGTATTACAACTTGCCTACTCAAAACGTTTTTCACTGGCAAGTTTGATCAGCCACTGTGGAGAAGTGACAGATATTTTAGAAAATGGATACAAATATGTTGTCTGACTTAAATTTATACATAGTTAAAATGAGTCAGATTGCTTTTAATTAAAATCAGTTTATAACTATGATTTGAACTGTTTAATTATGCAGTCTAGTTCTTGGATAAAAGTATTTTTTCACAGAAGCTTTGATAACTTTTTATGTATTTACAGCCATTTTCCTTAAATCACTAACTTGGTTAAAAAACTTACTGCCACTCACTTTAAAACTTGTTTACATCCAGTTTGTATTGACAGGATATCTACGTGAGGTTGTAAACTCTTTATTATTGCTATGGGGAAAAGTTAAATGTTATGGGGTTTTTATGCTAACAAAAAGATCAAAAGTCAAATAGAGAAGTATTTACAAAATTACAACCAGTATGTTAGAAACAAATAGCAGATTTATGCATAACAAGTAGCTTTAAAACAGTAACATCAAAACCTGTTAGTAATCAGAAGAAAAAAATACCCTACACAGAATGAGTGCCAGGTTCCAAAATCTATTATCTTCCCTTTTCTTTGACTACTTTTCTAGTATTGACAGCTGCAAAAAATTTGGCGTGGCTGCCAAAGGTTGTTTACTGAAGGGAGGAGTAATAAATTTTATTGTGGGGAAAGAAGAGACTTAGAGATTATTTGGAATCGGTTTATTTGTCCGATTTACATAACTGCCCAGTTATCCTATCAATATTCTTTTTCATTTCTCTGCTGACAGACAGGTAGATGAAACCATTTACAAAACAGACCAATTTATACTGCTATGTGGATGTACTAGTGAGGTGCTTTGGGTATTTTTAAATTACAATGAAACCTATAGAGTGATTAGCTTCTACCCAGTTACTTGCAGTGTTGGCATATCCACAGGGCAAACATTTTAGTCCTGCAAGTACAGTGAAATGTCAGGGATTATGCTTTCAGTTTTCTGCAGCTCTTAAGCCAGAAGTGAAGGAAGATTGATCCTAGGAGACCTGAGTTTCCAAACTCCTATTTGCACAATGAACTTTTGTTCTTGTTAAGGATTCTCTTAATTCATGGGTGAAAAAATTCCCTCCCTCTCCCTCCTTAAAAGCAAGTCTGTTAGTAACTAGATTAATGTGTTACAATTATGAAGGTTTAGATGGTTGTTGGTAGAGAGGGAAGAAACAAGAATTTCAATTTTAGGAACCAGAAAGTTTTCTTTAAACAAAACAAAATGGTCTTGAACAGCAGATACATTCTGGGGCCTGGGAACACTGCTGGTGGTGTCTTGAAAAAAGAAAAATCTGATACAGAATTTTGCAGAGTGAATGTTGCTAATTTAATCTGACTTACTTTCGAGGGAAAAATGCTCTGCGGTGCAAACTCCTGGCCTCATGTGAGCTCTGGCTGTGTCTTGCCTCAGTGGTAGGAGGTGGGCTGAGTTATGCATCCTTGCACTGTGTGTCTGGGTTTCCTTCTGATGGAAACCTGAGCATGTGAGTAGGGTCAGAGCTAGCGCATAATCAATGTGTGCGTGTAGATGGTTGGGGGAGTATAGGAGTCCGGGGTATACCAAGCAGCATTCTTCTCCTTTAGTTGGGACTTTGCAAAGTGCGTATCTGAGAACAAAGGCTACAAACTCCCTAATACCTCTGCCCAGTGGTGCAGATTCAGAGTTAGTACTTAGGCATTTCTTTATGTTTGCTACTTTAAAGGCAAGAGTTATTTTGTTGATGGAACATTCGCAGAAATTCAGGGCAGCTGCTATATATGTTGTGTTAGCAAAGTACCTCTGATGGCATTTGAATAGTTGTGCTGACTCTTCACTGTTGACCCCAGGAGGGGAACATCTGAGGCTGCTGTGAGCATGGCAAGGCTGTGTAGTCTGCTGAATACTTGTCAAGAATTATATTTGAATGTCTTGTTCTTCAGTAAATCAACAGAAACCTTATTTGGGGAAAGGTGCTGATGATTATTTGTTAACTTTTAACAAGATACTTACGTGTCTTCCATTATCGGATTACCTGTGGCAAGTTACCTCAGCTCATTTCCCTGTCAGTGTCAAGTATCTGTCAGTATATTCTGTTAAATGCTTTTCATCTTTGACCTTACTGTAGGCACATTAATAGTGGCCTTGGCCTGGCAGTGAGTGGTTGGACCCGAGAGTAGAGGACTCCTGGGTTCTTCATTTTTGGGTCTAGGTCTAGCTGCAGTGAGCAAATTCAGAAAAGCCAGCTCTGGAGAAATAGCAAGTGTGGTAGCAGTATAGTGCTGCTTCATGGGCATGGGAGCCTTCCTCCTAGCTCCAAAGTGTGGACCTTCCCACTCTGCTAAACAAAGGCCAGAGCAGGTTTGAGGCTGGCATTCCAGTGAAGTATTGACAAGTTTGTACCACACAAGGTAATGTAAGTGACAAGCTACAGAAGTGCTTTTTTGGGAAGACAGTAGTGTTCAGAATATTAAAGTGATAGTGCTTGAAAGATTGCTGTCATCTGTTTTGCTCTAATTCAGCTGTTTTTTCTGTTTTGTTAGCAGAAGGGCAGTGGTATGGGGTTCCTTCTTAAAAGTTTGAAAAATAAATTTCCTGTATCGTAGGATGTAAACCTGGAGGCCCTCAGTCACTCATGGTCAGTCCAGGGTTACAGAGGAAGCTGCCTTCTCCATTCCAGCTGTGTGCAGCTGTCCTTATGCTGGGATCATTGCAGGGTGAATGAGCTTACATTTAGGGCAGCTGTATATGGAGAAAGATCCTCTGGCCCCTAACTGCTCTCTTTTGTTGTAATTAACTTACTGAGTAAACATTTCTTGAGCATCTGAAAGTAGAAATACTGCTAGTTTTGGCATTTGTAGTGAATAAAAATGGTGTAGGTGACTTGCTTTGTGTCATTCAGCATTCCCTTGGGATTGTAAGGTAGTAAACAGCTAATATCCTCACAGGGATTTCTGCATTTATCCACCTCCACTGTAGATTTTAAACTATTCTGTTCGTGTCTTTTGGTGAATTGATCATTAAGTCATATAGCTGATAGAGACTTGAGCACATCAGAGGATTTTTATGGGATTTGTTAAAATGAACCATAAGTTGTGAACCATATTATTATGGAGCAAGTTAGCTACAGTGTGAGGATAGAAACAATTTCCTGTGATGCTTCATCTGCTACTATTATATAGCTTTTAAAGTATAGCTTGATACTCAGATAAACATTGTGAACATTAGATGCCAGACTTGAAGACTCAAAGCTCAGTATATCATCCAAAATGTTGGAAGCTTTTTCTTTTAAAATAATTTACTTGAGGCAGTCAAATTATGTAAACTGCAGTAGCTTGATGAGTTCAGAGCACACTGGTTTTAGATGCTGAGAATTACTGTTTAAAAAAAAAAAGTTCAGTAGCAATGTGAGTAAAAATGTAAATACCAGCAAAACACAAGAGGAATGAATTGTCTGATGGGGAGGATGAGAGGGGAAGGGAAGTAAACGCATCAAGAGAAGGCTCAGGAAGGTCTCATCTCTTCACTGCTTTCCTTTTGCTTCCCCAGAGAGGGGCCATGGGGTAAGGGGACAGCAAAAGGTGAGCATCTCAGATGGGAAGGAGCTCTTCATATGTGATGGAGGCTGGCTGGGCTAGGACCTGAGGGGAGAAGGCATTTCCCCAGGGTTTGCAGGCAAGAAGGGATGGTGGAGAGAAAACTCTGATGGCACTTGTGGTACTGCTCAGTCTTTGGCTGGGGAACTACCTTGGTTGCAGAGAGTTTGTCATGGAAGTTGATGCAAACACTTAGAGCCTGATGGGCAGAGACAACTTAATATGAGTCTTCAGAGAGTGGGCCAGAAGGTTTGAAGAGCAGTGCCTGGAGGTTTGGGACAGGGCAAAGCCTAGGGAGATGGGCAGCCTTCATCAGGAGTGAGGGAGCTGGGCAGACAGTAAGCGCTCCTTTGGCTTGATTTTTCTTTTTTCCCCCCTCTTTTACAATGAGGCTATGCTACACCAAAACCCATCACACTTTAGATGATAGTTTTGCATTTTTTCCTGGTAATATGTTCCAAAAAAGGTTAATGGTACCCATAAAAATTAAAAATTACCTTCCCAAAGGAGGAATTCTGGCAGAAGAATCAATGCATTTCAGTAATTCTTTTACTGGATGGTCAGGTTCTGTTATTTTTGCCAAGCAGAGCAGGGTTGGACTCATTCAGTAATTGAGTAGGGAATGCCAAATTAACACCAGCCTCTGTTTAGTGCAAATGCCTTGTTGTGGATGAGAAGCACAACTCACATTCTGAAATAATCTTTAAAGAATCCCATGGCGCTCTTTATACAAGTGCTGGTGTTTAACTCTCTTAGTCTGGATAGTTTCCAACTTAAGTATCTGATTTTTCCATCCTTAACTTGTATTTAATACCTTTTTGTTCTAGCATTTTTCTCAGTGGGACTAACTTGTAAAAATACTCTCTGCTGTCAGAGTTGCTTCTTCAGTTGGAGATGGCATTTCCAATTTATTTTCTATCTTTTGCGCTGTTGTGTCTTGGAGTATGTTGCCCCAGAAGTAAAATTAGCAGCAGTGTGTTTTAGGTAATTCCATGCGAAGCTTTTGAAAGGCTCTAGTATTAAATACT